TATACACGACTGACCTTACTTACTCAGGCTTCAGCATCTCCAGTGATCAGACTAATATGCAGGACCTGAGGCCCCAGTGATGAATCACATTGTTAGCCTGAACTATCCATGTGGACCAAGGCCCCTGGTATATAAAGACACTCTTATCAGGAAGGATATTCCATGGACTTTTAAGGTATTGTCTTCCAAGAGGAGGTTAGAGGGCAGTCATTTCTTTGGAATGTGCAGGATTTGAAAATTCCAAACCTACTGAGTTAATCCTTTACTGCACAGAACTTTTGGGGTATGAATATAGCATCGCTTAGTGGAAAATTTGAAGAACAAGGAATTTTGAGAAGACTTAAGCAAAACAAGAGTAATTTGTTTTTTAAAATAGGTAGAGATGAATTAAGTGGAAAACTATAATGGTATAAATTAAATCAAAGCCAAAACATGGTTCTTGGAATAAAAAGAATTAAATAAAATCCATACAGTAGCTATTCTACACTAGAAAAAGGAAAGCATTATATAAGAAGTTAAAGTTAATGCAAATATACTTAGAAATACAGCTGCATAGATATTGAAATTTTGAAAAACTTTGAGAAGCATGAAATAAAACTGAAATATGTGGATATATCAGCTATTCATAGATTGGAAGACAACTTCGAAATTCTTAATTCTCACCATTTTGTATAAACATACATACAAACAGGACGGTGTAGGATCTTTTCTGACAGGTACTAAAGGTATGTTATAAGTCCATTATAACTGGTACAGAATGTTACTAGTGTGGGGATAATTATAGACCTTTGAAACAGAATAGAGAGCCCAGAAGTTATGGCTACAAGCAAATAAATGAACAACTGTCACAAACAGCTTGAACAAAGGAAGCCGTGATTCCATTTGTGTAAAATTAAACTATTCTTTTTAGGGTTGTAGAAGTATAAAGAAAAATGAAGAATTTTTTTCTGTAGAATTTATGACCCAAAAGACCTCTTAGTGCCAAGGAAGTTGTTCCCAAGAAAGAATATGTGAAGTCTCTTGGAGCCAGTCTTTTTATATATCATGAACTTGATGGTGGTTCTATAGGCGTTCACTTTATGCCATTTGTTAACTTATGCAAAAGAGGTTTATGTGTATTTGTTTTAATTTACATGTTCTGACAGCTAGAAAGGGAAAAGTAATGAGTGGGAGAAACTTACTACATATGTTCCTCACAAATGTTTTTGTTTCTATAAAAGAATTCAGGTCTTGTCACATCACTTTCTCACTGTGGCCTTCCATGACATCTTATTTATAATGGCACTCTTCATTTCATTCTTTCTTTTTTTTTTTTTTGAGTTGAAAGGAAAGTTTATTAGAAAAGGGGTAACCCTCCACAGACAGAGTGTGCTCCTTTCAGAGGCAGAGAGTGAGAGGGACAGTGTGAGAGAGACAGAGCAAAGACACTGAGAAGGACAGTGAGAGACAGAGTAAAGGTACTGAGAGGGGCCGGCACTCTTCATTTCAAGCAGTCCACGTATCTCCATGTTTTACTTTTCTCTTAAGCCCTTATCAGATCTTCTTATTTCTGAAAACATATTTCAAAATCTCCACTTACTTGTCCTATTTGAAAATTTCGGAAGCACTACTTTTCCCTTCCATACCTTTTCCTCTTTCTTTGGTGGACCTAATTGATTCCTAAACTCAATCTCTCCTTGGATCTAATCCTGCTTTTGTCTCTGTTTCCCTGACTGCTTAGTCCTACATTTTGTTGGCTGGGTTTAAAGTTGCATCTCTGGTACCTCCAACATAATAAAGCATGAGAATAGGCATACAATGGATATTTGTGAGCAAATAAATTTTGATTCCCAGTCTCTTTCTCCTGATTTGTCTGCCTCTGAACACTCTGTTCTATGTATCTGCTCTTTTTTTTCTGTACAGTAACTTCCTCATATGCATCATCCGTCCCCATAATTCAGGCCCCTTTTGCTTTATCCTGATGACTTTGTCTCACCTTCAGGGCAGCTGTACTCCAGTGTTGTAGTGTCTTTATTGTTAAAATGACCAGATGAAAACTAAATTTAACTCTCACAACTCAAAATCCTGTCTTTTTCCACTTCTTCCATAATTATTTATTCTCCTAGCCTACTCTCAGACAACTATGAAAAATCACTTTAAAATTCTGAATTGCTCATCACTGTCATCCTCATATTGACCTTTCAGAACTTTCTACATTTTAGTTTTCTTTGTACTCTGTCTTTTCGTATTCTTACTATCCTATAATATTACCCAAAATTAGAGCCCTGCTCTTTAATGCCTTGGTTATTTTTATTCCTAATTAAAGTTAATTTTTACATAATGCATCAAATTCATCTTGCTCTGGACTGACAAAGTAACCTATGGCTTAAAACGTAGGGTTTACACATAACTTAATATATGAAATTTAAATTACTGTTATATTAGTGACTATCAAATTATGAACTCTTCTTGCATTATCTGATGTATTTATGTTGCTTACCCAGTTGCCAGTCTCCTAAGTGTCACCCATTCATGTGACATTCTTCCCTACATCACACTTTTTATCATTATATGCTTTTCAATACAAGTTCTTTAATAAATTTATTAAATTTCTTAGCATGCTTGGCACAAGGGAAGGTCTCTAGTTATTTTTTAAAAATTACTACACATACGAAATTTTGGCTAAGGTTCCTACTTCTATAAAATGAGCATGGAATATTTTAGCCTACTTTAATTTCTCCTTTTTGTAAATCTCCCAATCCAGTTCATGGCTATTTCACAAGAAAATGAGACTTTTCACATTCTCTATGCCAGATAACATACAGTTCTTGAAAGAACACTTTTCCCTTCCTGGAAATGCACTAAAAAGAATAGCCTCTGTTTTATTCTTTCATACTCTAGTATGTAACATAAATAAATATAATTACATCGTGGATTAACTGCAAAGCCAGGTAGAGGAGAGGTATTTCACATTGATTCACTCTGAAAGCACTATCCCAAAAGCAAATACCCGAGTCAAGTTTCTGTCCCCCAATCAGTTATATATAATTAACAAGTAATTATTCAGTTACTTGAAATTCTTGTTCTTCTGGATCTTGGGTTGCCAATCTCATGAAATTGTCTGCTTCTTGACTAAAAAAAAATCTGACAGTACACCTTAATGACCTGAAAGTTTTCTAAATGATGTTAGCTCAAAAGCATGTTTATTAGAGTCTTTTTATTGAACTATCAACAGTTAGAAGTACTTAGTACTGCTCCTTTCCCTGAAGTTTAGGATTTTCCTCTGTTGATAACGAACTCTTGCCTAGCTGAGAGCAGAACTTTCAGGCAAGCATCAGAGTTAAAAAACGTATGAGATGTCAGATTTATAATGGGTATGGTTAATTTGTAACTAACAATTTTCAAATGAGAAAAGTCTGCTGTGGGTTCATAAAAAGAATAATGCACTGACAAGGACATTTGATTATTTCCTTCATAGGAAAAATATAATAAACCCACTTTTAAAGAAAAGTTTTAGGTAAAATATCTTTAAGGACAAAAAATAAGCCTATTTTCAAAGAAGTCAATGAATGGTACATTTGATTCAACAAAATGCATGAACAAAACTTTATAGAGGAAAATTCCTGACATTATAATAATAATCCTGAGACATAGTACACTAATAATATACCATTAATGTATAAAAATATCAAGTAACAGATTCAGCAAGTCTGGAGTACAGCTTAGAGAAGTGTCATTTTATAAGACTCCATCAGTAACTCTGAAATACATCCCCAGTTGAAAATTACTGACCTAAAAGATACTAGAGGTTTAAATACAAAAGTAAGCTTTTAGCTAAGTAAACACTTGAGATAATAACTGAAAATACTGCATTTTTGTTGCCTAATATTATGCAAAGTATTGACAGTACTCTGATAAATATAGGAAAACTTGGTGTTTAATGACAGTTTTGGTAAGTATCTTTTATGAATATTTTGGACAGTGAGGGCATTGACAAATCTGTATAAATTTATTTTATTTATATATACTTTCCAAATTATACTATTAATATTTCACATGTACAAATTTAATGTAAGGCAAGGTGAACATCTCTTCTGATTTTTTCCATCTTCCCATGGAACTCTTATGACAGTAACATACCAGACAAACCTGATCTAGCATTTCTTTTACTTTTTATTTTGAAATAGTATAGGCTCACAGGAAGTAGCAAAAACAGTACAAAGATTCTGTGTATCCTTTCACTATGTTCCTCCAATGGTGACATCTTAGTAGCTATAGTAGAGTATCAAAACCAGGAAATTGATGGTGGCACATTACTGTTAGTTAGGTTCCTGACTTTCCTCAGTTTTTACTTTTAACTTGCATTCATTTATGTCTGTGTGTATGTGTGTTTACACACAAGCATATAGCTCTATGCAATTTTATCCATGAATAGGTTTGTGTAACTACCTCCACAGTTAAGGTACAGAACTGTTACATTAGCATAAAATAACTCTTTTGTGCTATCTTTTTGTATTCATACTTCCCTAACCTACTCCCCAGCAGTTGTCTGCGTTCCCTGGCAACCACTAATATGCTCTCCATTTCTATAGTTTTGTCATTTCAAGAAAGTTAAATAAATAGAATCATATCATATAATCTTTTGAGATTCACTGTTTTTGTTGTTGTTGTTGTTTGTTTGTTTTTTTAACCAAGCACAACCCCCTGGGGTTTATCCAGATTTTTCCATGTATCAGTGATTCACCCACTGAAGGATGCTTAGTTGTTTCTAGTATTTTCCTATTATAAATAAAGGTGCTATGAATATTTGTGTATAGATTTTTGTGTGAATCATGATTTTTATTTCTCTGGGATAAAGTACTCAAAGTTTTCAATTCCGTGTTCATGTGGCAGGTACATGTTTAGATTTATAAGAAATTGCCACTAATTTCTCCAGAGACGCTGTACTATTTTACATCTGTACCAGCAATATATGAGAGATTTTTTTGTTTTTTTTTGCAGTATCACCAACATTTTTTATTATCTCTATGTAGTTTTTAGCTGTTCTAATTGGTGTGCAGTGATATCTTATTGTGCTTTAACTTGCATTCCCTAATGACTAATAATGTTGGATAACATTTCTTTTGCTTATTTGCCATATGTATATTTTCTTTTGCTCATTTTATAATTGGGTTGTTTTTTATTTTTATTTTACATCTAAGACCTTTGTTATATTGTGGTTTGCAGATATTGTCTGTTAGTCTGTAGCTAACCTTTTCATCCTCTTAGCAAAGTACTTCTTAGCACAAACATTTTCAATTTTGACGAAGTCTCCAATTTAATACATTTTTAAAAATGGGTTGTTCTTTTCCTATGTCTAAGAATTCCTTACCTAGCTGTAGGTCTCAAAATTTTTCTCCTGCTTTTCTTTTCAAAAGTTTTATAGTTTTATTCTTTACATTTAAATCCATGATACATCTTGCATTAATATTTATATATGATTGGTATAGGCCAACATTCATTATTTTGCATGTGGTTGTCCAGTTGTTCAGCACCATTATAGAAAAGAATTGTCAAAAATCAATTGGCTGTGCTTATATTGGTCTCTTTTTTGGTTCTCTTTTCTGTTTCATTGATCTATCTGTATTTCCATTTCTCTTTCAGTACTACACTGTCTTGATTACTATAGCTACATAATAAGGCTTAATATAAGGTAAACTTTATTCTTTTAACAAAATTGTTATAGCAATTGTGGTTTTTTTGTCTTTTCATATAAAGTTGAGAACAAACTTGTCTATAAACAGTCTTGCTAGGATTTCAATAGGACTTGCCTTACATCTATAGAATAATTTGGAGAATTGACATCTTTACTAGATCGAGTCTTCCAATCCATGACATAGCACATTTCTCCATTTATTTAGATCTTTTTTGATTTTTTTCATCGGTGTTTTGTGATTTTCTGCATACTGATTCTGTATGTGGTTTTTTAGGTTTATGCTTAGGTAACTTTTTAATTTGAGTATGTAAATAGTTTTGTCCTGAAAGATGTCTAGGTTATGAGTATCACAAAGGTAGAAGTACAGGAAAGTCAGGAAAGAATGTGAGTACCAGACCATTTCTTTTGAAATGAACCATTGTAGGGGAAATTACCCTGGACCAGACTATTGTAGAAAATACTGTAGATTTGTAGATTTGTGGAACGATAGTTTGAACACCTGAAGTATATATAGGTAATATAAAACTTCATTTTCTAAATGTCTCTTAATTCTTTCATCTTTTTTTTTTCCTTGAGGTAGTGGGCTACGGATCTACTTAAGTGTTTAGCTAAGACCTGATATCCTTGCATGGCTTAGTGGTAACAGCAGGGTAATAGTCAAATGTACACAGTAATTTTTTATGGTAGGTAAATGTAAAGGATGTTTCCAAAATTTATGGTAGTAGGTGATCCTTAAGGTTTTCAGAATCAACAGAAACCAGATATGTTGAAAAGTGCATAGAAGGCAGAATTAAGTATGGGACAGAGTTAAAACTCATGTTTTAAGAACACGAGTGAGCATATTAAAAAGGTGGTCAAAAAATGTTTACTTCTGAACAACAGTAGTAAAATCCAAAGTTCCAGAGCCAGGATAGAGCAGTGAATCCAGTCTGAGTGGAAACATGGGTTTTCCTCCAGTCATTGTTACATTTCCTCTTGGGCATTTGTGTACCTAAGAATGACAGCCAGGAGAATTAGAGCGTGGGTTTTACGACTGTTTTTTTTTTTTTTAAATATGAGAAAGTTCATTCCATTATAAACTTATTTTGGTGTTGACGTATAGAATGAAAAAGGAGAACCTCTAAATAGAATCATGTAGATTGATAAATATCCTACCATTTTAATCTTACTTGATAGTTTAAGAACCTGTATCCTAATAATCTCCTTAATTCAAACCCTTTATCTGCTGGAACCCCTAGAAACCCTTCTACAAGATTATTTTTGTTTGTTGTTGAATTCATACCATTCTCAGATTGATGTTTGTTCCCAGGGCCCAACTCTTTTAAAACCCATATGTTCCCAGTTCATCATTTCTTTCCTTTATGCCTGAATTTGAAAATTTTATTTAAAATGCCAGATACATATGATATTCATCTCCAAGTTCTTTCCCCTTTTTTTTCAATAGCAAGCCTCCTTGCCCCACACGCCACTCCCAAGGAAAGTGAATGTAGTTAATACATACTAGGAATTACTACAGTGTTGAGAGACTTAGCAACTGTATAATATGGCACATAGCCCTTTTATCTTAAAATTTCGTTAAATTTCATAAGGAATTTTTAACTTTCTCATTTTTAGAAGACTACCAACTTGATCTTTTAGAGAAGAGCCAGGAAAACCAAGACAAATATTTTTGTCAAGTTTTATTCACCACCAACAGAACATTGACTTCAGAGCAAGAGAAAGTTTCAGGAAAATCATTTAATCTAGGCACAGACTTTTTTGCTTCAAGAAAAATACCCGCTATATGTGACACTCTGGAGCCTACATACTTGGATCTCTATGCATTGGCTCCACATAATTACTCAAAAAAGAAGGCTTATGAGTTTAAATGCATCTTGTTTTAATGCTAGAAATGAGAGAACAAATACTGGAGAGAAGTCTTTTGATAATAATCAAAATTTGCAGGGTTTTAGTGACGTGGAGGAACTTACTCAACATCAGATTTTTCAGACTTTGCAGCAATCTTTTGAATATAATAAACGTAATGTTTTGCATGATCAGGCTGCCTTCATTTCATGCAACAGTGCCTAGACCCAACATGATGAATCAGCCCTTGTCTCTCCAAGTATTTACACAGAGAAGAGTCACTCTGAATTTAATGAAGGTGAATGTAATAAAATTGGAAACAATTTCAGTAGGATTACTCAACTTCAGAGAACTGATATAGGAGAGAAAACTTTTGGTCAAAAAGTGCATTTCAGAGAATGTCAGAGAACTCACACAGGAGTACAACCCCGTGAGTGTGGGAGAAACTTCAGCTACAATTCAGCCATTAATGTACAACAGAGAACTCACACAGTAGAGATATCTTGTGATAATAAGACATGTAAGGAAACTTTTAGTCCCCAGTTAGCCTTCAGTATACAGCAGAGGACACATGGAAGTGAAGAACACTATGAATGTAATGAATGTCAAAAATCCTTCTCTAAGAGGTCATCCCTCGTTTTACATCAAAGAAGTCATACAGGTAAGAAAATTTATGAATGTAATGAATGTGGTATAGCTTTTTCCTGTAAATCATCCCTAGCTATACATCAAAGGACTCACGCAGGGGAGAAACCCTATGAATGTGATGAATGTGGGAGAGCTTTCACCTACATATCACACCTCAGAGGACACCGGAGAATTCACAAAGGAGAGAAACCCTATGAATGTATTGAATGTGGGAAAACTTTCCTCTGGAAGTCAATCCTGAATATACATTGGAGAAGTCATACAGGGGAGAAGCCTCATGAATGTGATGAATGTGGGAGAGCTTTCACCTACAAATCACAGCTTACACTACATCAGAGAACTCACACAGGTGAGAAACCCTATGAATGTAATGAATGTGGAAAAACTTTCAGGCAGAAATCAAGCCTTGGAAAACATCAGAGAATTCACACAGGGGAGAAACCCTATCAATGTAATGAATGTGGAAAAGCTTTCACTTCCATGTCACACCTCAGAGGCCATCAGAGAACTCACACAGGGGAGAGAAACCCTATCAATGTAATGAATGTGGTAATTCTTTCAGGCAGAAATCAAGCCTTGGAAAACATCAGAGAACTCAACACAGGAGAGGGACCCTATAAATGTAATGAATGGGGAAGAGCTTTCATTTTCATGTCACAGCTCAAAGGACATCAGAGAATTCACACAGGGGAAAAACCTTATGAATGTATCGAATGTGGGAAAATTTTCCTTCAGAAGTCAGTCCTCATAGTACATCAGAGATGCATGTAAAGAAGAAATGCTATGAATATAACTAATGCAGAAAAGCTTTTTTGTTTGTCATTTAACTCAAAATTAAACTTATGAGATAATTCATTCAGGGGAATGCAGTGAATTACACTTTCAGCAATGAGTCTTGCCTATGAAAATATCAGAAAACTCAAAGGTGAGAAATCCTATAGAGGTGGTAATGTGGGAAAATCTTCAGAAGGTTGTCAAATGTAAAAAGCCATGGGAAGGAAAAATAACTTTTTCTTGTACTCTTTTGGGTTCAGTGGCTGGGGCCCTGCAAATGGAAAGGCATTATTAACAAGAGAAAAGAAAAAAGTTTTATTTCATGTTCATATGGAGAGTGTCACATAAATGAAGTGAAAACTCCAAAAAGGTGATCAGACCTAGAGGCTTATATACCATTTTAACAGAAGGGCAGTACATTTGCAGAGAAGTTGCCAGACAAAGGAAAAGGGTTTTAGAGCTTCTACAGGTGATTAATTGTGAGAAGGTTAACATACAGAGAAACTGATGGAAGATAAGTGTTATTTCATTAAGATTTGTTTATGCTGATATTAGTTGATGCCATATCCAATGATAAGAGTTGTCTCTTCTTATACAGGAGCGGGCTTGGGGGACACCTTAATAAAGGGAGATTTATGACCCACCTTTTGGCAGATAGGGTGAGGGTGGAGAGGTCTTTCTGTGTCTACTGTGTTTCAGTTTTTTTCAGCTTAAAGTAATCCTTTTGCCAAAGTGGCATAATTTGAAGTGACATATTTTCATCCCTTTGATCATACCAGGGAGAAACCTTATAAATGTTGGATGTAGGGAAGAGTTCCACCAGAAATCAGACCTCAGAGTATGTCAGAAGACTCACAGAGAATTAAACATGAATGTCATAAGGAAAGACTTTCATGTACACATCAAATCTTGCTTTACATCAGAGAACTTAAACACATGAACAGCCCTGTAAATGTTATGGATCTTAGAATGCTTTCAACCAGAAATCACACTTTTGAGAACATAAGAGAACTCACAAGGATGAAACCATAAAGATGATAAATGTAG